AATCCAGCCACGAGCTTCGGTGGGAAAATCCACCTGCACCTTGCGCTTGCACTTGGAGAACACCTCCTGAACCCTTGAGGTCCACGCCATCATGCTTTCGCCTTCGTTCGCTGAAATCTGAAAGACTTCACGAAGGCACTCTGCCAGCCAGTCATGTTGCTGCTTGTCCGGGTAGCGCTCATTCAAGGCATCCCAGATGTAGCGATCACCGGATTCTTCCTGGAGCTTCTCTAAGGTCAGGTGTTCCACTGACTCCAAAGCTGTGATCCAGCAGACAGTACACGAAGGGACCGCGTTGTTTGCTGGTGATATCCTTTGAGGCTGCCATCTTGGCTTCGACCCAGAGCTTCCAGCGTCTATACGCCTTGCCGTCCAGATCATCGCCACTGAAGCGTTTCCACTGAGCATTGCCATCGCGTTGCTCAGTCGCCATGGCAGCCTAGTGCTGCTTTTTGCCCGATCCTACCTAGGATCACAGGCCAACAGGGCTATAACCGGATGCCCCCGTCTTAGGGGCTCCGCTACCAGTTAAATTGCCCAGGCCCACGGATCTCGCCTAGATCCAAACACCGCTAAGACTGCTCCTTTGTCTCGCCTGAGCCATGAGTGTCTTCGCCGATCGCCGCACCTGAAGGAAACGCAAGGCCACATGACCCCAGTCAGGTGGAAAGAATGGGTGCTGCTTTTAAATATGTATATTTGTATTGATGTAAATATATATATATGTATATATGTACCTATGCTGTATATATATGTTGTATATATGTTGTATATATATATATATGTTGTATATATATATATGTTGTATATATGTTGTATATATGTTGTATATATGCATATGTGTATATATGATGTATTTATGTATTGATGTATTGATATATATATATGTACATATGCTGTATATATGTTGTGTATATGTTGTATATATACATGTTGTATATATATGTTGTATATATGTTCTATATGTTGTATATATGCATATGTGTATATATGATGTATTTATGTATTGATGTATATATACAAATATGTGTTCATGTATATATGTAAATATTTATATATGTATATATGTATATATGTGAATATGTACGTATGTATATATGTACATATGTATATATGTATATATGTATATATGTATATATGTATATATGTATATATGTATGTATGTATGCGTGTATGGATGTATGCATGTATGGATGTATGTATGTATATATGTATGTATGTATGCATGCATGTATGTATGTATGTATGTCTGTATGTATATGTATATGTATACATGTATACATGTATGTATGTATATATATATATGTATTTATATGTATATATATGTATATATATGTATATATATGTATATATACATAGTATGTATATATATATGTATATATATGTATATATATGTATATATATATATGTATATATATATATATGTATATATATGTATATATATGTATATATATGTATATATATGTATATATATATATGTATATATATATGTATATATATATGTATATATATATGTATATATATATATATTTTTGTGTATATATATGTATATATATATGTATATATATATATGTATATATATATGTATATATATATGTATGTATATATATGTATATATGTATATATGTATTTATGTATATACCTATGTATGTAAAAATGTATAAATGCATATTTGCATATATATAAATAAATATATATATATATGTATCATGCATTAATGTATATATGTATGTATATATGCATATATGTAGAGATAGTGTAGGGACCGGCCCCAAAAACAGTGAGCTGATGCACTTGGGGGATCAACTAGCAGATGAGATGTCAACAAAGACAGGTCGACGCATGGCAGAAAGCACCTCCTGCAGAGGCAGAAGGTTGAGTGTCGCTTGGCCTGCGCAGAGTGAATGCTTGAGTCCCACACGTCAAGCATGGCTCCTTCCCCGACTGTTCCGATGTTGTTTTGCATTGTTTTACAGGTGGTGCCGCAATTATAGAACGGAAGTTGGGGAGTACGAAGGTACGGTTATTTACCGTACCCTGTTGTTCTATAATTCTGTTTTCCTCGGAAGGTGTGAAAAAAAAACGTATCTGAATTTACTCCTAACTTTTTTCGTCGTTCTATAATTCTTGTCGGAGCGCTGCTGTTCTATAATTCTGTTTTCCCCCATTTTTCTCACATTTCCCATTTTCGTTCTATAATTAATGTTTCCCGGGCCCCGTTCTATAATTAATTTTTCCGTCGAACGGAAAAATTAATTATACCTGGAGCATCCTTTTCTGAGAAATTTCTAGCATTTCTTGCTTTCTAGTAAAGTTAAGAATTCCAGGAGTTGCAACGAATTTCTCAGTGACCTTGCATTTGTCATACGGTTTGCAGTCAATGATGTGATCAGGTGGGTTCCAGAAAAAAATGTTTGTATGACTTTTCGGGATTTGCGGGAGTTTGGCGTTTTTTGCGGGAGTTTGACACTTTTTTGCGGGAGTTTTGCGGGTAATTCTTGACGTTTTTGAACGTCAAAAACTGAACATAAAACCACATGTCATGCAGAAACCTTGTAGCCTGCGACATCCACAACTCATTGGTTTGGATGAATTTCAAGGAAATTGAGTCGAATAAGGAGTTTTTGATCAATTTGACATCGTTTTGCGCAAAAAGATGGTCACTTCCTAGAATTCCGTGAATTTCCTAGGATTTGGAATGTCCAGGTAGAACGGAAAAATTAATTATAGAATTATAGAACCTCTTCCGGGGTCCCAGAAATCCTTTCAAATCACCATGAAATCTAAGAAAATCACCGTGAAATCCCATAACATCACCATGAAATCCCATAAAATCACTATGAAATCTTATAAAATCACCATGAAATCTAAGAAAATCACCTGGTAAATGTGGGAAAAATGGGGGAAAACAGAATTATAGAACGGAAGTTGAGGAGTACGAAGGTACGGTTATTTACCGTACCCTGTTGTTCTATAATTCTGTTTTCCTCGGAAGGTATGAAAAAAAACGTATCTGAATTTGAGTTCCGATCCGGAGAGCCACCCAAAAGTCGGATTCGAGTCGGTTTCGGGTTTCGGGTTTCGGGTTTCGGGTTTCGGGTTTCGGGTTTCGGGTTTCGTCGATTGAAACCAACTTTCGCTGTCGGTTTCGGGTTTCGGGTTTCGGGTTTCGGGTTTCGTCGCTTGAAACCAACTTTCGCTGTCGGTTTCGGGTTTCGGGTTTCGGGTTTCGTCGATTGAAACCCACTTTCGCTGTCGGTTTCGGGTTTCGGGTTTCGGGTTTCAGGTTTCGGTTTCGGGTTTCGATCGGCACTGGGGAAGTTAAGTCTTCAGAGTCGGTTTCGGGTTTCGGGTTTCGGGTTTCGATCGGTCCTGGGGAAGGTAAGTCTTCAGAGTCGGTTTCGGGTTTCGGGTTTCGGGTTTCGATCGGCCCTGGGAAAGTTAAGTCTTCAGAGTCGGTTTCGGGTTTCGGGTTTCGATCGGTCCTGGGGAAGGTAAGTCTTCAGAGTCGGTTTCGGGTTTCGGGTTTCGGGTTTCGATCGGCCCTGGGGAAGGTAAGTCTTCAGAGTCGGTTTCGGGTTTCCGGTTTCGGGTTTCGGGTTTCGATCGGTCCTTGGGAAGTTACGTCTTCAGAGTCGGTTTCGGGTTTCGGGTTTCGGGTTTCCCAGATCGAAACCAACTTTAACAGTCGGTTTCGGGTTTCGGGTTTCGGGTTTCGCTGGTCGAAACCAACTCTGCAGACCTCTCTCCGGATCACGTCTCCTGAATTTACTCCTAACCTTTTTCGTCGTTCTATCCTCATTAAATCCTCATTAAATCTGCATTTTATCCTCATTTCCTCATCAAATCCCCATTAAATTCTCATTTTATCCGCGTTTTACAATCATTTCCTCATCAAATCCTCATGTTATCTTCATTTTATCCTCATTTTCTCATCAAATCCTCATTAAATCCTGATTAAATCCTCATTTTATTGTCATTTTACCTTTATTTTATCATCATTTCCTCATCGAATCACAATTTTATCTTCATTTTATACTCATTTTATCCTCGTTTCCTCATCAAATCTTCATTTTATCTGCATTTTATCTTCATTTCCTCATGAAATCTTCATTAAATCCTCATTAAATCTTCATTTTATAGATTGTATGTGTACAAATATGCAGTAAATATCATGTTAGTGCCAGAAATTATAGATCGGAGCCATGGAGTAATTTAATTATAGAACGGGGAAATTTAATTATAGAACGGGGAAATTTAATTATAGAACGGGGAAATTCAATTATAGAACGGATCCCCGTTCTATAATTAAATTTCCCGACTCCGCGCGGAATCGGAACCCGGAGGAGTACAAAGGTACGGTATTTTACCGTACTTTTGTACTCCTGGCTCCGTTCTATAATTCTGGCACCACCTGTACCTTTTAGATCGTCCCACATTTCAATCGAAATTTAGGTGAAGCACCGTGAAGCCTGTACTTTATGCATTCCTGGAACTGAGCCAGGGCTTTGATGCGAAAGCTTTCATTGGCCAATAATGGCTCATGTGTAGAGTATAATGGACCTGCTGCAGCTGAACGGCTCCATACCTGTTTCGCGCAGGAAAGGCTTGAAGAGACTGTGACTATACTCGTGATGCTTTTGGTATAATTTATATATTTGTAGCCACGTTTTTAAATACATGCTTAAAATTCTGTTTGATTACATGATCTCGTACGCTTTTAGCGTGTAGAAGGTTTTTCTTCGCTCAGTGGAGTGCGCTTTGAACACTTGCAGTTTGAATCTTCAAGTGCCACTGCGACGACTGTGGGCACAAGCTATCAGACAGACTGACGGTATTTCTGGATCGGGCAGAGTGGCGCCTTTGGCGAAAAGCGCTTCGCAGCTTCACTGTCACAGTTCCACGGGTAGAATCGCATGCCACAAGGGAAAGTGAAGGAATGCTCCCAAAACACACCCAGATCATGTGATGATGCGAATGACGTGAAGCACTCTGGTCAGGCCAAAGCTCCTGCTGTGCCTATGCAGCACAGGCTCGGAGACAGCTTTAATTCAAATCATTTGGAGAGATTACAATTCAGAAATGTGATGAACTACTTAGCTTAGATATGCTTAGATAATCTTAGATACTTGATGAGACTTGGAGAAGTGGAGAAGATGAAATCTCCCTAAGCAAGGCTGAGGTCAAGTGACGAGCTGGATGAGCTTCCATTGCTCTTGCGTGGCAGGGTGAGGAAGCGTCGGCGCACCACAAATTCCCCTGTGCCTGTAAAGGAGACACCACCAGGCAAGACATCGTGAATCAATGGGGAGACATGGTGAGAATGTTTGTGTTGCAATTGGCAGCGCTAAGTCAGATGAAAACAAAGAAAACGACATGACATTACATGACATGAGAAGTCATGAGAAGTCATGGTCATGTGAATTGAGCCCTTCCCACACGGCAGTTGCACCTCCTCGAAGAACTGCTGCGAAATCTGCACCAGCACCACCGCCTGTTCTGATGGTGCGGACACCGTTGACATTTCGTGAGATTTGGTGAGATGTGTTGAGCGCATGGCATCTGAGAGATTTGCAGAGCATTCACACAGGCTGGAACACAATGTTATGGCACGTGCGCACAAAATCAATCCCAAGAGCATGCGCCAGAATTTGCTGAGAATTCGCTGAGGTTCCTCCGAACGTGATGGATGTCGACCTAACACCGCCGGCTTGGCATTACTTGGGGCAACTGAAACAAGTTTCTGCTGAAACATACCAGTACGTCTGAGAGGGCAGGATGTTGATGTGCAGCGAACGATCCATGCAGTGCTTCAATCAGTGCTGCAAAAAGATGCTGGCATGAAGGCTCAAACTCAAACTATGCAATTTCACTCCAATGTGCAAACCACAGCACCCACCAACTCACTGGCTTCAGAGTACTAGTATACTGAACAGAGGTGATGCGAAGAAAGATTAGAGAATGGTGTTTGACGTTAGATTTTCAGGTAAATACTTACAACTCCCAGTCAGGCGGCGTTCCCTGAGATTCGTAGAGAAGTTTTCGGATGCTTGTGCCACTTGTGCCAATAGTCATCGTTTTTCGCTAGACACTGGGCCTTCTGGTGGAGCAGGTGCAGCATTTGTCGAGGATGCAGGATTCGTATGGATTCATAACAAAGTCAATGGCATGCACAATTCGCACACTATCATTAAGTAACCCATTATACGCATATTATGCGCATTATATATTATATTCATTAATTACATATAATCATTGTATATACACATATTAACGCCTTGTTTTCTTGTGTCCTGTGTCCATGGCCGTTCAGGGGCAGCGGAACACGCAAGATGAAGCGAAAGGATCCTCCAGGATCCACGTGGCAGGCCACGAAGTTCCGACTTGAGAAACAGTGCTCCATGTGCTCTCCCTTTTGAAGATTTTTGAAGACAATCGGAAAGCCTGAAAGTCGATGAAAGTCGCACATAGACAAGTAGGTGCCCAAATTGTTGTTGCTCGAGGAGGCCTTTGGTGGGAAACACAGCCGATTTCGTCCTGGATTTGTCCCTCGAAAGATGTGCTGCTTGGCGACTTGATGCTGTAGATGCCTTGATTTTCCTTGCGCTTTGCTTTGGCGGCTTTCTTACTCATAGCTGGGAGAACAAAGTCGAGGAATCACGTGGTGCTAAATATGATGTAGCACGGTGAGTTTTCAGGAGGACCCAAGTTGCTATGATGGCCCAGATTTGCCAAGGAAATGTTTGCAAAACTGAACTTCGAGCAACAAGTTATGTGGGTTCGACACGTGCGATTAAGATTCGATTCAATTCGATTCAATTTTGGCAATATTTTGGCTAGGTTTTATTTTGGTTGCACAGGTTAGTAAATCAATCGAATGAATCGATAAGTTGCTACGTGTACAGAATGAGTTGATAGCAAAGAAATCGGTAAACAGGCTGAAATCAAAATGAAGTCACACATGTATGGATGTAACGAATTCGACATTTTAATTTTCCCCAAATAGATTTGGTCAGCGTTGTTTCAGCCGATTTCAGCTTTTCTTTCAAACCAAACCAAGGTTCCTATATTCAATCCGCAGGGTTCTGCGAAAAGGGAGATGCCTGCACCTTCGCACACAGCGAAGATGAACTCCAAAACGGACATGCTGCCGCTGCTGCCAGTCACTCGGTTTGGAAAAGTAGAGCATGGACAAAAGATAGCATGGACAGAAAGGCGCATGCATGGTGTGTGGCATTGCTTACTGTAAATTTGCTCTATAAATCTAAATGCCCAGAGAGAGAGAGAGATTACACACACACACAGACACATGACTACCATATTATATATGCTCCTCATGTTTTCAGGGGAATGGTGCAGACAATTTGGCCAGAATGAGCCTGAAACCTCTGACCACAGGGGTGTCAGCTGGTTCTTCGGCCGTGCTCGCTTTGAAGCTATTGGGCTAGGCTGATCCTTCGCACTTTCAGTTCATCGTCTCAGGCCCTGCCAATCCCTGCCAGCCAGCGCTTCCTGGAACCTTGGTCTTTTTTACTGGGGCTGCTCGTGGGCATCTTTTTCTACGGGATCCTCGATTAGGCATTGACTTTAAGGCGGTGTTTGGTGCAGTGGGTGGAAAGCTGTGTTGGTTCGCAACCTACAGGTCGAAGGAAAGCGCTGTGCAAGCTCCTTTGATGAGCGACAGAATCCAGATCCTTGAGCGTGAAGCCAGGGATTTGCGACAACAGCTGGAGCTTCGTTGCGTACTGGGCGCCCCCTGCAAGGGAGCTTTCTGTGCATGTGCCAGAGGAAACCGACGACAGCTATTCAGCGGCGAGCAGCCGCGCTTAAGGCTACCAATTGCCATGACCATCGCTCTTCACGAGCAGAGGGCGCCCCGCACTTCGCCACCCACATCAGCATTTGGAAGGTCTCCGCCTTTCGGTCCTCCTTTCGGACTTTCCCCTGCTCCTGGGCCATCTGCTGCTTTGTCTTGGCCTGAGCGAGACGAGATTGCTGAGCAGATCGGCAAGTTCATATCGAGGTGCCTTCAAGGACAACACCGTTGGCCCAGCGGCCGTGATCTCAATCCACTGCCATCGAAGCTGTGGCTGGTGGCGCGGGATTTTGAGGGGCAGATCTATTCACCCATTCGGGTGTTCAAGTCCTGGGGCTCTTGCCGCAATGTGTGCAAGAGGTTCGAGGATCCAGGAGACTCAGTATCCGTTCGGGTTCCACCTGAGAGAGAAAAGCACGGCGTGTGGTTCATGTAGCCGGGGTTGATTGGCCGGCTGTTATCGAAAAATGAGTGACACAGCAGAGGAGGAGCAGTTCGAAGACGCTGCCCTCGTGGATAGCCCCTACGTCTTTCTCGAGCGGACTGTGAATTCATCGTTTCAAGTGCAGCTTTTTGTGGCCGATCAGCTTTCTGGCCATCCTTGCTTCCTTCCCTCTACTTTTGATTTCCGAGTTTGAATGCAAAACCTTTGTTGCAGTTCTTCATCAAGCATGGCACCGCAGCTTGTCTCGACGTCAGATGGGAGAGCCTGGGGCCTTTCGAAGCCTACCGCAGTCGAAGTATTTGCGGCCAAATTATAGATGCACCCAGTCAGAATGAGGAGGGCATCAATTTGAAGACGTGGATTGGCTTTCTCCGCTCAGAGTTGCTCGAGCGCTTGGCGCCTTTTTCACTGGAAGCCGAGTGCGACTTCCACTTTTTGGAGGAGGACGGTGAGATTTACATACCACTGGCAGCGTGGCTAGTCGCGGTGGCGCAGGAGCATTTTGCTTTCTTCTCAGCTCAGGAGACAGCTGGAGTGGGCCAGCCTCACGTCGATGGCGAGGCCCTTGAGGGAGTGAGAGAAGAATCTGGGTTGGTGGATCTGATTCAGCGTATGAGTCATGTCGAGAGTGTCCTCGACTTTCAGCAGGACAGGATGAGGACGTTGGTGGCCCAACGCAGTGCTTCTCCGGTAACTCAGACTTTGGGAGCAGCTCATTCATGTACCCAAGGCCAAGAGTGTTCGCCCACCACCTTCGAGGCAACCATCTACATTTGGATCGGCCACCTTCTGAAGGCAGTCGAGGACTGTTCCCTCACCTGGATGCAGAGGTTGTGCAAGCAGCAATTCAAGCTGTGGCATCTCATACGAGAGCCTGCGGCAGATGGAGGCAGTGGTGGCTCCTGCAGAACACGAAGGCGAAAAAGGTGCAAGACGTGCGGCGGCGCTGACTTCTGGGCCTTCTGCCACAACAAGAGGACGCTATGGAGGAGGAAGCCAAAGTCGAAGACGATGCTGGATTTCCAGAACCTTCCAGAGATCTTGGGGTCGCCTTGGACAAGTTGACCTCCATAGTCGAATTGCTTACGGGGAACAAGAAGAAGAAGGCTACATTGTCATCGTCGAAGCTGGATGCAGCCCTGGACAATGTCAGCCTTGGGGCCTCAGGTTCTGGCAAAAAAAGTAGGAGGGCATTGCGCAATGCCTTCCAGGATCACCCCGAGGAATCTACCAGGGCAGCAACCCCGGGGTCTTTCTGCCAGAGCTTGGATAGAGTCTCGATCGAGAATCAGTGCTTAGAAAGTTTGCGCTCACTCAGCATCTGGATTCTTTGATAGCTGGCAATTTGGCACAGGCACGGGCGAGGGCAGCGCTGGGGATTCTACAGCTTGACGGCGATGAGCCAGCACGTTGTTCCAGACGTTCAACAGGGTGACAGCCCCTTCTTAAAATTTGCTCGACGGTCGTTGGGCAGAAGTTGCTCTCGGCCATCTTCGAGATCAAGAAGAGTATCTGGCACGTCGGCGCAACATCGGCAGGAATCAGAGCCAAAAAGGAGACGGTGCCAAAGACACAGCAACACCAGGCCCACGGAGAAAGGCAAAACCAGCTCCCAAGCCAAAGGCTTCCAGTTCGAGCGCAGAAAAAGGGCCAGATGCATGAATGCCGATGGCTTCGGCAAACACTGATGGTGGCAGTCCTTGTCACCTGGTGCTGGTGCTGCTACGGTCAATGTTGTTGTTTTTTGAATTCATTGCCTAGACTGCTGCTACAGTTGCATTGTGGTCTTCAAGGTTTTTTGCTCACCATCATAAAGTCCCACACTGGTAGTTTGCAAGGCTGGTCCAAAGCTGGATGCACATGGCCTGGTCCTTTGCCATATCCTGAAACTTTTCGACCAGGGGCTGCTTATCGGATATCGGGTGTCAGATGCGCACCTGAAGCGGCTCATCAATCTTCAGGTGCTTACTCTTGACTGGTTTCATCTAGGTTCTACGCCAACCAGCCAGGGTGCAATGTATGCGAGTAGCCGATAAAACTGCTGTTAGTTTGCTGCGCATGATTTTTGGTCGTTTGCAACAGGAAGATTTTTTTGTTTGTTGGATCTCATCACCAATACAGAAAAAAGCGTTGGGATTTGCTTGTCTCTGATTTTGGAATTTGCAAAGACTCTGGTTTGGCTCCTGGTGATCTTCGTGGAGGGTCAGCTGTTTTTCATTATATATCATGCAGGTAAGCCTATAGCTGATATTCTCTGGATGATGAGATCACGAAGTCAGACTACTCTTGATTCATATCTTCAAGAGGTTGCTGCTTTGAATGTTCTTGGGCCTCTATCTTTGTCCTCTCGCGCCTCAACCAAGGCGTTTGCAGCTACTTTTCCTTTGCTGCCGCACAGTTCACCTGCGGGGCATAGACTAACGTAGACTCCTTTGTCTGCACTCGTCCAACTTAAACCTGGACCGTTCCCTGTAAGAGTGGAGCACTATTTTTTGCTGCCTGGGTCTCAACCTGACCTACATTGCTGGCCTATGAAATTTAGCTCACCTTTGTGCCGTGCAGCTTTCTTTTAGGTTAACTGAATGCTGGCAGGTTGGCTTGGCAGCATGTAGTGTCGCCCGAACCTGACTTGGAGTGGTGGTGAAAACAGTGCACTCAGCTTCTTTGCCTTGTGCACCAAATGGACTTGCAAACGCGCTCCTCGTGTTTTCAGGGAAATGATGCAGAACATTTGGCCTCTCCAACCTCCCTGGCATGCCACACCTTTCCCTTGGAGCACTGTTTTTTGTTGCCTGGGTCTCAAGCTGACCTACGGTGCTGGCCTATGACATTCAGCTCACCTTTGTGCCAAACTTTCTTGTAGGTTAATTGAATACTGGCAGATTGGTTTGGCAGCATGCAGTGTCGCCCGAACCTGACTTGAAGCGGTGGTGAAACAGTGCACTCAGCTTCTTTGCCTTGCGCACCAAATGGACTTGCAAACATAATTTTATTTATTATTATATAAATATGTGGATTTATACATAGATATATAAACATATGCATATAAGTATGTATATTCAAATATCTAGATTATTTAAACATAGGTATACATATATATATATATAAGAATATTTGTATATATATATATATACACACACACATATTAGCTCTTTTTCTTTCTTGTCAATTCTGTGACAAGGTGCCGTGGTTGATGCTTCTGACGGACTCTGGGATAGCAGTGCGTGGCAGCAAGAGGCACTTGACTGATTTCGTTGTACTGTCAAGGATTTGTTTCTACCTCTTGTTTTGACCCTGCTACGTGCTTTCTTGCAGGAAAGCTAGGCGCTCGCGCCGCATACCTTGCAAGGGTACCACTCTATACTCTATACCTTTATGGTCCTTTATGTTTGCAAAATCCACGACCCGAGCAAATGGAAGACTTTGCCCAGCTCATCATGTGAAATTGTTACGAAAGAAGGAATGGAATGCGACTTTGATTGCATAGACGGGCCGACAGGACATCCTCGGAAAAACAGTGAGTCAAATATAGTCAAATAGTCTGCGACTTCGACCATAATCATGCTCAGTGAGAGGAGATGTAGTACATGGAAGCACTCACTTCATCAAACACGGTTTGCACAAAGTCAGCGGTAGACAAATGAAGATCAGGACAACCTCGCGAGGTCAGGATTAAGGTATAAAAAACATTGCATTGTATTGAGCAAAAACAACTCCTCTTCACGAAATAAAAATCACTTGATGCGAGCAAGGCTCGTCAAACAAACCCTGCTATACTTCTCAAGAAGGGTGAACAGTTGTCCTCAACATTTCTTAATGAATCGTACCCTTGATGCGGCAAGTTTACCCTAACTGTGAATTGCCCTTAGCTTCAGCATGAACGAAAATTTTCTCCACACCCCCGCACATTCATGACAAAAGATCATGCAAGACATTGTTCATGTTTTTCTTGATTGAAATTCTTTGGCTCATGCACCTGAATTATCCTGAGTTGGGGTCTAGAAACTTCGCACAAAGCTAGAGAGGCATGCTGCCTCAGACTCTTGGCACTGTCCATGCTGGTTGTATGAGATAGGCAACAGATGCCACCAGTACCCCACAGAAAAATTGCTTCTATTGTTTGACTTGATAAGAGTTTCAAGCTAGAGACAAAAAGAGAGCAGACAAGATCCAACTTTGCTTGGAGGCTTCTGTGAACACTGGACATTCTCGCTTTCGTCCGGGCTTTGTTCCTCGAAAGATGTGCGCCTTGGAATGTGGCAGAGGAAGGACTTCAAAGTGTTCTGTGCCTAATTTTCATGAGTGATTTTTGAAGAGTTCTGTAACTATATAATGCTATATATATATATTTATTTATTTATTTCTTTATTTATTTATTTATTTATAGGGCACGGTGGGTCCGCGTGAGGGCTAAGGGTCTGGGTTTGGTCCTCATTTTGACAAGCAAGATAGAGCAACATGTTTTCGTTTGGACTTCTAAGGTTCCTATATTCAATCCACAGGGTTCTGCGAAAAGGGGGATGCCTGCACCTTCGCACACAGCGAAGATGAACTCCAAAACGGACATGCTGCTGCTGCTGCGGCTGCTGCGGCTGCTACTAGCCACTCGGTTTGAAAAAGTAGAGCATGGACCGCACATCTGACAGTGTAAGGACAGCACGTTGAGATTAAACCTAGTATTCCGTACAGTATCTCCCATGTGATACGCTGCAAACTTGATACGTTTTGGTGTTGCATGGGCCAGGCGGCTACTGGCACTTTGGAGGGGGGGGATGATGTGTGCTGTGCATACGTACATCCATCCATCCATCCATCCACCCATCCATCCACCCATCCACCCATCCACCCATCCACCCATCCACCCATCCACCCATCCACCCATCCACCCATCCACCCATCCATCCATCCATCCATCCATAGTAAGGGCATAAATTCCACACACGGTGCAAAACACTGTTTGTTAATCTATAATCCAGCTGCCAATCCATGCCACCTAGTATTTGTTTGCCACTATTTGCCTAGCATTCGTTTATCTAACCAAGATCTCGTGGAATTCTTTACATAATCATCTTATGTAGGTTTCTTCAGGCAAGGTTTGTTCTCTCATTCTTCCCAGTTGGGAAACGCACTCGAGAAAAGAACACAGCGCCCGGCTACTTGAAAGTCCACCACCGCTATCCTGAAGAGATTCTGAGGACTGGTGTTCTTCAGTCCTCTCTAAGAATGTTCCTAAAATGTGCCTAGAGTTCTCAAATCTGGAGCCAAGCATGCTGTTTCGGATTGCTTTTGGGTTATTTTGCCTCGTTGGAAAGGTCTTGGGGCAGATGCTCTTGCCGCAGCCTGGGAGTATGAGTATACGGAAAGCGGCGGTGAAGTGCAGCAAGAGGCATGTCACTGTGAGAGCGATACTTGTACACATTCTGACATATGTTCTTAAGAGTTCATGTGATGTGCGTATTCTGTTTCAGAAGAGTGCCACTCCACCGCTTGTGTTTGGGACTTCAGCCATGAGAAAGGAAGCTGACGGCTCACAGATGCTGACAGCAGTCAAAGCCATTTAACTTTGCTTGGAGGCTTCTGTGAACAGTGGGCATTTCCGCTTTCGTCCGGGCTTTGTTCCTCGAAAGATGTGCACCTGGGCTAAACAGCTATGATTATGGTGAGGAAGTCAAAACGAATGCGAATCGTGAATTGACTTTGCTGTAGCTTCGCTCAGGTTCTTTCATGGAAACCACAGGCTACTGCCAAAAAGGTGATGCCTGCACCTTTGCCCACAGTGCTGAAGAACTGCAAAATGCAGAGGGCAGCTGCTTGGCTGAATTTGAGGAGCCTGCACCACCATGTGCCTTTGCAAGGCCTGAGAGCCAGCGAGTGAGAGCGAGCGAGAGAGATCAAGCTGTGCCGTGCCCAGGCAATTTTCAGGAAGTGAAGGGCGATGTTCAGGAACCTCAGGAAGTTGAAGTTGAGGTAGTTGAAGATGCGCCAGTCGGCCTGAAGCAGGAGAAACCGGCTGATACGAAATTGGAGACGGAGGCAAATTGACAATGGTAAACTTCTATGTTCAAGGATTTGCAAACAGGTGAGAACAAGGGTGAGCCAAGATGGTTTCAACTGCTTCAAAAACCGCTTTTATTATATATTAATTATTATCATATATCATTATGTATTATATCATTATATATTATATAATAATTATTATATATTATGAATTATTATATATTAATATATATTATTATATATTAATATAATAATTATTATATATTATTATATATTATTATATATTATTAATTATTATCTGTTATCATATGTTATAATATATTAATATATATTAATATATATATTATCATTTATTAATATATATTATTATATATTATTTTATATTATCATATATTATTTTATATTATTATATATTAATAATTATTATATGTTATCATATGTTATAATCAAAGGAAGTTGGGAAGCAATTTCCGAGTTACGAATGACTTTTTACTTGGTGCAATTGACTATGATGAAGGGTGGTAGATCCTGTAACAATACATAATGTACCAATACATGACAAACCAATAAGAAGCAATGAAATTGACCTTGAGGAAGGGTGGTAGATCATATAACAATACATAATATAACAATACATAATGTACCAATACATAACAAAAGAATAAGAAGCTATGAAATTGACCTTGAGGAAGTGATGATGAAGGGGAGTGGTGACGAAGGGAAGCGGTGAAGAAGGGAAGTGATGATGAAGGGGAGTGGTGACGAAGGGAAGTGGTGAGGAAGGGAAGTGGTGAAGAAGGGAAGTGATGATGAAGGGGAGTGGTGACGAAGGGAAGTGGTGAGAAGGGAAGTGGTGAAGGGGTGCGATGGGAAGTGGATATGTTTTGGGGAGGAAGCGGGAGCACGAAACCTTGCGTTTTTCCGTGTTAAGTGGCTGCAGGCGACGATGAAAGGTACCTCGTCTGTGCGGCGGTTGCGGCTGCGGTCGTTCCGGACGCGATTGGTTCCTTCTATGTGTTTTGCAACAATGGTTGTTCCTGTGTGCGTAGTTCTGATATGCGTTTCCTGAAGCTGTGGTTGCTGATCGCATTGGAATGGCTGCATGAATGTTGCATGGGCAATGTTTTGGGGAGGAAGCCGGAGCACGAAACCGTGTTTTTTTTTCCGTGTAAGGTGGCTGCAGGCGACGATGAAAGGTACCTCGTCTGTGCGGCGGTTGCGGCTGCGGTCGTTCCGGACGCGATTGGTTCCTTCTATGTGTTTTGCAACAATGTTTGTTCCTGTGTGCTTAGTTCTATGCGTTTCCTGAAGCTGTGGCTGCTGATCGCATTGGAATGGCTGCATGAATGTTGCATGGGCTATGTTTTGGGGAGGAAGCCGGAGCACGAAACCGTGTTTTTTCCGTGTAAAGTGGCTGCAGCCGGCGATGAAAGGTACCTCGTCTGTGCGGCGGTTGCGGCTGGGGTCGTTTCATGCGCGAATTGTTCCTCCTATGTGTTTTGCAACGAGTGGTTGTTCCTGTGTGCGTAGTTCTATGCGGTTCTTGAATCTCTGGTTGCAGATTGCATTGGAATGGCTGCATGAATGTTGCATGGGCTATGTTTTGGGGAGGAAGCCGGAGCACGAAACCTTGTGTTTTTCCGTGTAAAGTGGCTGCAGCCGGCGATGAAAGGTACCTCGTCTGTGCGGCGGGTGCGGCTGGGGTCGTTTCTGTCGCGAATTGTTCCTCCTATGTGTTTTGCAACGAGTGGTTGTTCCTGTGTGCGTAGTTCTATGCGGTTCTTGGAGCTGTGGTTGCAGATCGCATTGGAATGGCTGCATGATTGTTGTCATTTGGTGTTGCCACGTGCGTAGATAGGTGTAGTAGGTTTGCCACGGGATGCTGCGAAACGCATTGTAGTGGCTGCGTCAAGGTTGCTCGGTGCTACGGCTGCATGCGTAATACTATTGTCTTTTGCAGCTGAAGATCGTAAATCGTATTGGAATGGCTGCATCAAGGCTGCGAAAGTGAATTGTCAGCAGATTTTCTCAATTTTGGCGCTAATAATTTTCCTTTAAAATTCCTTTTAAAAAGTGCTTCAAAATCGTCTTTTTGTCCCTTTGGCGTCGAGATCCGGTTTTGGAGCTGCAATTTCCGACGCCATTGCACGTAGTTCTAATTGTGTTTTGCAACTCAGTCGCTGCAGATCGCATTGTAGTGGCTGCGTCAAGGTTGCTTGGTGCAGCGGCTGCATGCGTAATACTATTGTCTTTTGCAGCTGAAGATCGTAAATCGTATTGGAACGGCTGCATCAAGGCTGCGAAAGTGATTTGTCAGCAGATTTTCTCAATTTTGGCGCTAATAATTTTCCTTTTAAAATTCCTTTTAAAAAGTGCTTCAAAATCGTCTTTTTGTCGCTTTGGCGTCGAGATCCGGTTGTGGAGCTGCAATTTCCGACGCCATTGCACGTAGTTCTATTGTGTTTTGCAACTCAGTCTCTGCAGATCGCATTGCAGTGGCTGCGTCAAGGTTGCGTGGTGCAGCGGCTGCATGCGTAATACTATTGTCTTTTGCAGCTGAAGATGGTAAATCGTATTGGAATGGCTGCATCAAGGCTGCGAAAGTGATTTGTCAGCAGATTTTCTCAATTTTGGTGCAATGTGAAGTGTGAGGAAAGTGTTTGCATTCTACCGGGGTCGCGCGCAGGTCATGTTCTTGGACAGCAACACTGCAACAGCTTCGCACAAAGCACGCACGCACGGGCCTGGCTGGCGCACAGCGCATGCAAGTTCCTCTATAGTAGTAGTACTGGGAAGTGATTCATGAAAGCTTAGGTGACATATGAGAAGAGATGAGATGAGAAGAGATGAGCTGGGATAAGGTGAGAAGAGCTCAGATGAGATGAAGTGTGGAGTGTGAAGAGTGCAGTGTGAAGTGTGGGGCGTGAAGGGTGCAGCGTGAAGTGTGAAGTATGGAGTGTGAAGAAAGCAATGAGAAGTGAGAAGTGTGAAGTGTGGACTGTGAAGTGTGAAGTGTGGAGTGTGAAGTGTGGATTGGGGAGAGTGCAGTGTGAAGTGAGAAGTGTGAAGTGTTGATTGCGAAGGGTGCAGTGTGAAGTGTGAAGACTGTCAAGTGTGAAGTGTGACGTGGAGCTTCAAATGTGACATGTGCAACACGACACCAGTTTCGCAGAGTGCACGCACGCACGGGCTTGGCTGGCGCACGGCGCATGCAAGTTCTATAGATGAGAAAGGTCTCATATATATCTTTAAGGCAACTTCCGCCCCGCCTCGTGCGGGTACTACTGGTATATTATCATATATTAATATATATATTATTATATATTATTCACGTCGCTTCGCGACGGCAACCGCCCGCACCGCATCGTTCTCTTCTACTGCCATTGTTCTCTTCTATTGCCGTCGCTCCGCGACAAGAACCCCTGTGCGGCCGCCACGGTTTGAAAGATGTTGTTCTCACACCTTCGCGACCGCTCGTAACTGCCAATGATGTCGGCCATTGAGACCAAAAACATCCGAAAGTACTGATTGTCGGGAAAAAAAACGCGAAGAATTTGATAGCCATGTATAGCGGACCAACGCAGTTCAAAAAATAACGAGAAACATGAAAAAACGGCGAAATGGCTGTTATTTACAGTGTTTTTGCGCGGTGAGAAGCAGAAACCACTGCAAATACCATGGTTTTTGAGGGTCAGGTGGCCAAAAACACTGTAATTTACAGTGTTTTTTTAACAAACGTCAAAAAACACTGGTACTTACGATGTTTTCATTCACACCGTAACATAAAACAGCGTAATTTACGAGGTTTTTGGAAGTTTTGAAGCTAGCCGTCAAGCATGCAGAAAACAGAAAAACACTGTAAAAACCAGTGTTTCTGCTATCACAAAACGACGAAAATCAGTCCGAAAACGGGTCCAAAAACTCAAAAATCCGCCTCCGGGCCCGGCCACCTGCGGAACCGCAAAAAAAGATGTTGCAAACCAAAAAATTGAGGTCAAAAAGTTAAAAAACACGGGTTTTTTTCACTTTTCGCTTGCCGATTTTGGACGGGCGCGTTCACGAACAGGTGTCTTCCGTACTGTTTTTTACAGTTTTTTTTGAAGGCGAGCGTCACGACCTATCAAAAACAGGAGGTTTTGGCCGAAAAATGCCACCCCCCCCAGGTAAACCTGTAACCTTTTACGAGTGCCATCCGGAAGATCACGCCCCAGCACCTTCGGTGCGGGCGGATTTTATATTTGTATATTATTATATTATTATATTTTATTATTTATATATATATATATATTATAATATTATTATTACTTACTATTATCATGATTATTATTGTTGTTATTGTGATTACTATTGCCATTATTTTTCATGTAATTATGATACGTTCCTTCCCATGATAGAATGTCATTTTGGTCCTTGAATCAGCCTGTTTGGGGGTGAAGCTAGGCCAGGCCAGGTATGCAATATTTGACAGGCTGTGGCTGGGTCGCGCTTCCGCCCTGGCTTCATCCCTCGAAGGATGTGCTCCTTATCAAAATTGCTGACAGATATGATATAGAGACAACATGCACTGACCTCACTGACAGACGGAGGACCCGCTGACTAAGTGCACGAGTGCCTATCTCACTCCCTCCCCGCCTTTGTACCTTGCTGAGATGCATTCCAGATGCCTGACCTGCCTGTTTGTCTACCCCCCGATATAAGTCTGCGCGTAGCATTTTGAACAGATGCACCAGTGCATTACAGAACATTTTCTTGCCAGTGTTGGTTAGCGGGCAGCCCACAGCCAGAAACTTGCCACTGTTGCTACTTGACAAGTCTAGTGCATCACCTCCTTGAAGTATCAAGGGGAATCCAGTCAGCACTGCTCATTTCAGGCTCCACGTTCGAGTCCACTGGCTATTGTAAATTCGCAGATGCCTGCACATTCGCGCACAGTCTCGATGAGCTCGAGGGTTTCCTGGAAAGAAATTCAGGGGCAGAGTCTTTGATTGACGGCGGTGCTTGGGGCATCAGCGCCTCTGTATATGTATATATATATATATATGTGCATATGTATATACACATGCATTTTTGTCAAAAGGAGTGGCTCTTTCGGTACCAGCCTAGGAGGCACCACAGTGCCGAAAAATGTCTATGTGCAGCAAGCGCAGGAAGGGGCAGAAGTTGCCCCCAACAGCACCTGGGCCAAGATTCTTGACCATTCAAAACATTTGCGGCACGAATTCGTGCTTGAGTTCTATGTGTCAGCGATGTTCTCTCTAGCCTGCACACTCACTAAGTGGATCACAGCCTGTCCAAGGAGTGCAGGTTCAGGTGTGTAGTCACAGCAATTGTCAAATGCAAAAGGTTGGAGACGTCGAGTCGTGGCGTATATTGCTCCCCTGAGGCAACGTTATTGGGCCCAGGGTCTTTCAGGGCAATTTCAGACCATCAGTGCTTTGCAAAATGTGGATCAAGCACCCCTCCCAGTGCCAAGATGGGGATGCTTGCACCTTCGCTCACGGTGCTTTGGCTTCAATGTGTCCCAGCCCAAACCTTTCCCAGCCATACTAATGGAATGCAGCAGGCCGTGAAATGCAGCAGAAACCAAAGTCAGAATCCTTGGCACAATTTGCAAATGTCACATCTGCCATGCAAGGCCTCTTGGAACTGCGAGGCGATTTGCAGGAACACTTGGGCATGCTACGGACCATAGGTTGGGCAATCTAGACTTGTGTTGCCCACTCCAAATGGCACCGGATGCTCATTGTCACAAAAGGCGAAAGAGTTCAACATGACACTAACATGACCAGAATCATCCAAATTGATCCAAAGCGATCCAAATTGCAGGCTTCTTCGGTGCCAGGGCAATGCCGGACCCTGACCCTACTGCAATGGCGCTGTATGCTGAAGCTTCACATGGGTCAAAGGGCTCCAAGGGCTCCAAGGGCTCCTGGTCCAAAGGCATGGGCTCCTGGTCGGGCAAGTCCGATGCTTTTGCAGATGCTGCCGCCGCCTATGCCGCTGCTCCAAATGAAAAGGGAGCTAGGGGAGGAAACAATGGAAAGTTCATGCCAGAGGAGACGCATGTAGTGAACCGTTTCAAAGTGTATCTTGCCCTGCAATTGTGACTGTGACATGTATGGGTTGCATTTGTTGGAGTCATTATAACTTTCATTTGTTATTTTGTTACTTGGTGGCACACGTGCATACGCTTGCACTTTTGTTTGGTCATTGCGTTTGTGATACGGGTAGAGACGATTTTTCAGATTCCCTGGTAGAAAGCAGACGGACAAGACTGACAAGACTGACAAGACTGACAAGACTGACAAGACTGACAAGACTGACAGCTTTCCGTATGTTTCATCCGTTTTTATAATTTTTCCAGGTTACCTGTGCTAAGGCGAAACTTCCCATCCTTGAGGCCCGTGAAGCTCTGCAACTTCTGGGTCCAAAGCCCTGAGATGTGCCAAAGGGGCGAGTCCTGCACTTTTGCACATGGCGTGGCGGAGCTGCACCTTGAAGCAAGTGACATCACACCATAGGGACATGCAGCATGCTACACTGTCCGCTATACATTGCAATGATGGCATCGTATTGCTACGATTGGCATCACATTGCTACACTGTGACGTGTTGTGACTTCCTTTGACATGCTACACCATAGCTACTGCGGGTTTCATGGTTTGTCCTTGTATTTGCTGGTTTGGGCACAGGGTGACCGTTCTAGGGACTGCAGACAGGCCGGCAGGAGATGCATTAAGATGCGGAATGATTGAGACAGCAACATAACTTGGGAACCATTTCTCGCGGAACTGCGTAGCTGCGTGAAAGCTCATGTCTCAAAAGTGACAGACTTGACACTTACACAGTTCAGGAACCCTCAAGCGCTTGCCATGAACGAGGGTGTCAGCCGCTTTCTACATACAGGCTTTACACCAAGAGTATCCTTGCAGCACTTCAAAGATGTAGTAATTACATTGATTTACATTGGCACTATATAGATAAAGATGATACCAGATGCAGTACGCTGCCTGAAAAACTTGAGCCAGTCACCCTCAGGTGATGTGCAAGAACATCACGGGTAAGGGAAGTTGCTCCAGAGGCCGGTCCCATCCAGAGATTGGGTGAAGGCAGAAATTCAGTGTGCTGCCAAAGTTTTGCTGTGCTTTTAGGAAGCTTGTAGGCAGCACATTGTATTCTTGCTTTCAGACGCTTTCAGACGCTTTCAGACGCTGCTTTCAGATGCTTTCAGAATGCTTCTGTCCCTGCTTCAGGCCTATTTTGCAGCTTTGCTCACTCCGACTTGGAGATGCAGTGAAAGAAGATAAAGAAGGACACAGAAGGAGAGAATGAGCGTTCTCAAGTATGAAAATGGTTCGGACTGCTGGGTGACGCTTGGTTCGGGATCCCTATGGAGGCAACCATGAGGCCACCAAAACAGACTCCCGGATTAAACAAGCAGTTCCTGACGTTCCTGACTTGTGCTGACTCTCCTCACAAATTTGGGGCGCAGCTCACCACGTACTGGTACCAAGTACCAATTCCATCCAATTCCTTACTCCTTCTCTTGCCCTGTGAAGTGTGTTGGCTCAAAGAGTGACATCGACTGCGCTGAAAGACTGCAAGCACCGCAAGTACATGTGACAGCTTGTGACGCTTTAGTTTGTCAGAGGGAAGTTGGTGGCTTTTGCCCCAACACGTTGACGCATGTGCATTTCACTGTTCCAACACAAATCTGTGTATCCAATACGGCCTTTGCCAATACAACACCCTGCCAGATGTCCAGCGGAGACACTTTGCACAGATACAGACGCCTCTCGAATAAGATATCAGACTAATCAGAGCGATCAACCGATGCATTCGTAAATAGCCGGCTTAGTTGGGAAGATAGGCGGATGAAATGATGAAACATATAGATAGAAAAGAAAAGAATAGAAATTAGAATAGACTATTTAGACTAGAGTAGAGTAAGAGTAGAGTAGAGTAGAATCGAGTAGAATAGACTAGACCAGACTGGACTAGACTAGACTAGACTAGACTAGAAGAAGATAGATAGCTAGGTAGGTACGTATGTAGGTGGATAGATAGATCGATAGATAGATCGATAGATAGATCGATAGATAGATCGATAGATAGATACAGATAAAAAGACAAAGGGATGCAGTAGATGCGGCGTGGATGGATATGCATGCAAGTAGATTGGTGTAGTAGTGCTGGTCACACTTGTGGGCGAACTGTGTCACAAAGCACCGCGCTCGGATGTTTTGCTGTCTTAATGGCAGCAATCAGCGTTGGCAGCCTGGCTAGCCATGGCGCAGGGCAAAGGTGTCGAAATGGATGTGGTTGAGGCGGCTGATGCATACTTCAAGAAATTCGAGATCAAATCCTTGTTGACTCAGATCCTGATAAAGCTGGGAGAAGAGCAACCGGAGGATCCGGCACAGGCAATCCGTGCTCACCTTGAAGTGTCAGAGCTCCGTGCGGGCACCGGCGGAGCAGTCGTTCAACCAGTGCCTGACGCAGACGAAGAGCATGATGCTGACGAGAGCCTCTTCCAGGCATCTCAATTCATGTTCGTTCCTTTCCATTGCACATGTGTCGGATAGCTGTGATTCTGAAGATTTGACCAATGTGCGACCTTGCTCAAAAATTAGGCTGAAACCCTTTTCAAGTTTTCAAGCGCGCAAGTTTTCTCTTTTCTCTTGCGTGGATGTGTGCAGGATTTGCTCAGAGTTCTCGTGCATGAGAAGCTACCAGGTAAAGACCGTGAAGGTGGTGAAGATCTCTCAAAAAGAGCCAGGGCTGCATGGGCTTTGCACTTTGTCACAGCTTCAATGGCTTTGAATTAGGCTGGCTCCGTAAAGCTCAGACTGTCTTGGAGAATTGTTTGCGAGGAATGGCTTGGGCAGGTGGCTTTAATCGCAGTGTCATGGAGCTGGCCTTAGATGCGATGTGTGTTCAACATGCGGAAACATCAATTTGATCACACCCCGACGGAAACTTCTGGGTAGCAGCAAGGCTCAGCAAGTTGTGATCGCATTGCAGCACATTGCAGCCATGTGGACTTTAGCAACCAGCCTAGGAGTGCTGGGTACCACAACCATCGCCGTGCTGTGCTTGTGCTTCCGTCGCTGGTGCGTTCAATGCTTTGTGGCGGCTGGGGCGTGGTTCTCCGTCTGGATGCCAGGACCTCGAAGAAAGTCAGTCTATCATGGCACAGGATGAAACTGCACGCGATGACAGGATGAGACAGGTACACTCAAAGGACCATTTTGGAATGATGATGATCTCATTTTCTCATATTTTCTCGTCACGAGCTGTTCTTAATGCTTTCGTCACGAGCGGTCATTTGAAGTGTCCCAGGCACAATTTCGGAGGTTGCGGAACTGATGGCTGCAAATTTGGAGAAATTGAACATGCAGAGGCAGCGGCGGCTGGAGACTTGTCTGGTCACACTTATTGGGTCACAAGTTACAAGTCATACTGTAGTTATGGTGCTGCCTGCCACTAGTGGCAATGTTCAGTAAAAAAGCAGACGTTTGCCACTGTGACGCTTCCAACGCCGTAAAGAGGCAAAATGTAATGCACCCATCTACATGTGACAGACTGAACTGCACATATGCTTCCCACATTTCCCACGCATTTTTTATCATGTGCATTTGTGCATTTGTTTGGCATTTGAGTAATTTGAGTGCTTTGTGTTTTATCTTTGCCTTCATTTCACGACTGGCTCTTCAAGGAAAGGCTTCTGGGAGTTCCAGAAGGGGCTATGGAAGAGTTCTGCCTCGCACTAGACGAAGAGCTGAAAGTGAAATGCCTCAGCTGGACCGGAAAGGGTGAGCAGGCGAGGTCCTGAGGTATTTCACCATGGGAACTCACTCCTTGCTGCGATATTTCACCAGGCGAACGCTAGTGCCGCTCCATTCAGCTCGTTCCTTCAAACATGTGCCCCATCATGCCACATCGAAAAAACTCGAATTCACCGCCTTTTGCGACCCAGGGTGTGCAGAGACAAGTTGCAATGTCCACCGCTAGACGCTTGGCTTGATAAGTTCCTTCTTGACAAGACAATATGTGATTTGATGATTTTGATGTGATGGTATGTGAAGTGCCTGCAAGAGCTGGCTGCCATCCCAGGAGATTTGCTCAGCCGGAGACTCAGTGGCTGGATGATGTACCTGGTTGAAAGCAAGACTTGAAGATACTTGAAGTACTCAGGTTTCTGTACTAGAAGAAAACAGCGCGTTTTGATACCTGTCTGGATGGATGTCTTGATATTATACAATATTATATACATATATAATATACATGCACGTCTTTATAATTCTTTATATATGTCGTTGACATGTCTTGTCCCTTGTGTTTCTGACACCGCCTTTGCTGTGGCAATGAAGGGGTCTCACCTGGGATGACACTGAGGCCGCCGGCATCAAGAGGTCGCGTCCATGGGACCCACCGTGTGTGGGGAGGCAGAGGCTGTGTCAGGGTTTGAACAGCCACTGTCCAGTCCCGGGTTTGACTTTCCACAGCACACTTTCGAAGAGTTTCCATGTTGTAGTGCTCGGATATGCTCGGCAGTCTAGAAGACCTCCCGCAGGCTGCATCTGATGCGGCTGGTACCGAAGACGTGGTCCACAAGCTCGACATCTTTGAAGCATTGCGCGAGGTGCTCGGAGACAAAGCGGCTCCCGAAGGTCCTCTGGAAGATACAGAAGAGAAAGCTCAGGAGGCATATTTACAGACTCGGACTTTGGTTGTCAAGCTGTCAACGCAGAGCACCAGATGTCACTGTAAACATACATAAACGTCTTGTGCTATGTTTCATATTAGTTTCGGTTCGTCGTTTGCTAGGAAGAAGAGCCAGAGGCTGCGGAACTGGTGGTGAATCCTTTCGAAGGTCCAAATTTAAAGCAACGTGGAACAATGTGAGTTGTGACCGCTTTAGATGGTTGTAGTGTTGTATATATCGCTGTGTGCAGAGGGAGGTTTGCTGCAAGATTTAGAAGTGATTAGCACACGCAGTGTGGGTATTCGCTGGGTGTGGTGATGTTGCCCCTGGTGGGAACTCTGATTGAGGATGACTACGTCCTAGATTTCCTTGATTTTCCACTCTGGAAAGAACCATCCTGGACCATCCGAGAACCATGTTCCCCCCCCCCAAACAGTGTATTGTTAGGGGTTCTTAATGCTTTCATCATCCAGTAAAGGGAAACAAGACGGGGTACAATGGGAGACAAGGGGAGACAAGGCCCTCGGGAAGGCGGACGGGAGACAAGACCTTCGGGAAGGCGGACACACCATCCAACAAAGGGAAAAAAGAAGGGGTACAATGGGAGACAAGTCTTGTCTCCCATTGTCTTCCTTTGTGCCTTCTTGTTTCCTTTTGATGGATGGTGTGTTTGCCTTCTCGAGGGTCTTGTCTCCCTTTGTCTCCCATTGTAGGCCGTTCTTGTTGCCCTTTGTTGGATGGTGTGTCTGCCTTAGCGAGGGTTTTGTCTCCCTTTGTCTCCCATTGTGCCCCTTCTTGTTGCCAGTTGTTGGATGGTGTGTCCGCCTTCCCGAGGGTCTTGTCTCCCTTTGTCTCTCATTGTACTCATTCTGGTTTCCCTCTGTTGGATGGTGAGTCCGCCTTCCCGATTGTCTTGTCTCCTTTGTTTCCCATTGTGCCCCTTCTTGGTTTCCTTTGTTGGATGGTGTGTCCGCCTTCCTGAGGTCTTGTCTCCCCTTGTCTCCCCTTGTCTCCATTTGTCTCCCTTCGGATGGTGTGTGCGCCTTCCCACGCCCGTGTCTCTCCTTGTGTCCCATTGTCTCCCCGTGTGTGTGCCTGTGTTAGAAGGCGTGTCCGCCTTCCCGAGGCCTTTTCTCCCCTTTTCTCCCCTTGTCTCCCAGCTTTTCTCCCATTGTCTCCCCACATGTGTGCCTGTGTTGGATGGTGTGTCCGCCTTCCCGAGGTCTTGTCTCCCCTTGTCTCCCATTGTCTTACCACATGTGTTGGATTGCGTGTCCGCCTTCCCAAGGCCTTGTCTTCCCTTGTCTCCCCTTGTCGCCCCTTCTCGCATTGTCTCCCATTGTCTCCCATTGTCTCCCATTGTCTCCCATTGTCTCCCATTGTCTCCCATTGTCGCATGGTTGCCCGTGTTGGTTGGTGTGTCCAAGGTCTTGTCTCCCCTTGTCTCCCATAGTCTCCCATTGTCTCCTCACACGTGTGCCTTTGTTGGATGGTGTGTCCGAGGCCTTGCCTTCCTTGTCTCCCAGCTTTTCTCCCAGCTTATCTCCCAGCTTGTCTTCTTCCCTTTTTTGGAAGGTGTGTCGGCCTTCCCGGGGTGTTGTCTTCGCTTGCCTTCCATTGTCTCCCGCACGTGTGCCTTTTTCGGATGGTGTGTCACTGTGTCCACTTTCTTGCAGGGCATTGTCTCGCATCTTGTCTCCCAGCTTGTCTTCCTTCTTGTTTCCCTTTGTTACATTTGCGCCTTTGTTGGCCTTCCCGAGGCCTTGTCTTGCTTGTCTCCCAGCTTATCTCCTAGCTTGTTTTCAAGCTTGTCTCCCAGCTTGTCTCCCATCTTGTTTCCCAGCTTATCTCCCAGCTTATCTCCCAGCTTGTCTTCTTCCCTTTGTCGGAAGGTGTGTCGGCCTTCCCGAGGCCTTGTCGCCCTTGTCGCCCTTGTCTTCCAGCTTGTCTCCCATCTTGTCCCCCCCACTTGTCTCCCAGCTTGTTTTTTTCTCCCCAAACAGTTTAATGTAGGGGTTCTCCGTTCTTTCTTAAGAGGTGTCCGCCCTTGTGTTACTGGCCGTGTCCGCCTCTCTGGGTCTGTCGCTTTATTTGTCTCCCTTCGTTTGTCTCCCTTCATGTGTCCTTCTGAATGGTGGTGTCCGGCTCTCTGGGTTTCTCGCTTTATTTGTCTCCCTTCATGTGTCCTTCTGCGTGGTGGTGTCCGGCTTTCTGGGTTTCTCGCTTTATTTGTCTCCCTTCATTTGTCTCCCTTCATGTGTCCTTCTGGGTGGTGGTGTCCGGCTCTCCGGGTCTCTCGCTTTATTTGTCTCCCTTCATTTCTCCCTTCATTTGTCTCCCTTCATTTGTCTCCCTTCATGTGTCCTTCTGAGTGGTGGTGTCCGGCTCTTTGGGTCTCTCGCTTTATTTGTCTCCCTCCATTTGTCTCCCTTCATGTGTCTTTCTGGGTGGTGGTGTCCGGCTTTCTGGGTCTCTCGCTTTATTTGTCTCCCTTCATTTGTCTCCCTTTATGTGTCCTTCTGGGTGGTGGTGTCCGGCTTTCTGGGTTTCTCGCTTTATTTGTTTCCCTTCATTTGTCTCCCTTCATGTGTCCTTCTGGGTGGTGGTGTCCGGCTTTCTGGGTTTCTCGCTTTATTTGTCTCCCTTCATTTGTCTCCCTTCATGTGTCCTTCTGGGTGGTGGTGTCCGGCTTTCTGGGTTTCTCGCTTTATTTGTCTCTCTTCATTTGTCTCCCTTAATGTGTCCTTCTGGGTGGTGGTGTCCGGCTCTCCGGGTCTCTTGCTTCATTTGTCTCCCTTTATTTGTCTCCGACTCTGGCTGGTAGTGTCCGGCTCTCTGGCTGTCTCGAATTCATTTGTCTCCCCTTACATGAATTCATTTGTCCCCGACTCTGGCTGGTAGTGTCCGGCTCTCCGGCTGTGTCGAATTCATTTGTTTCCGCTTATAGCAATTTATTTGTCTCCCACTCTGGCTGGTGGTGTCCGGCCCTCTGGCTTTGTCTCCCCTTATATATATATATTCATTTGTCTCCCGCTTTGGCTGGTTGTGTCCGGCTCTCTGCCTGTCTCGAATTCATTTATTTGCCCTTAAAGCATTTCATTTGTCTCCCGCTCTGGCTGGTAGTGTCCGGCTGTCTGGCTGCCTCGGATTCATTTGTCTCCCACTCTGGCTGGTAGTGTCCGGCTCTCTGGCTGTCTCGAATTCATTTGTCTCCCCTTATAGCAATTCATTTGTCTCCCAGTCTGGCGGGTGGTGTCCGGCTCTCTGGCTGTCTCGAATTCATTTGTCTCCCCTTATAGCAATTCATTTGTCTCCCACTCTGGCTGGTGGTGTCCGGCCCTCTGGCTTTGTCTCCCCTTATATATATATATTCATTTGTCTCCCGCTTTGGCTGGTTGTGTCCGGCTCTCTGGCTGTCTCGAATTCATTTATTTGCCCTTAAAGCATTTCATTTGTCTCCCGCTCTGGCTGGTAGTGTCCGGCTGTCTGGCTGCCTCGGATTCATTTGTCTCCCCTTATATCAATTAATGCCTTAAACAGTTTACTGTTGGCCTTCTCAATCCTTTCTTAAATAGGTGTCCGGCTCTGTCCAGGTGGTGGTGTCCGGCTCCCCCGATGTCTGCAATTCATTTGTCTCCCAGTCTGGCTGGTGGTGTCCGGTTCCCGCTGTGTCTCCTTTGTCTCTCACCGTGTTTCTCGCTTTGTCTTCCGCCTTCCTTCTCCTGGTGGTCTTTGCCTCCTGCAACTTCCAATTGTGTTCTTCCACTTGTCTCTCCCCCAATTGTCTTCCACTTGTCACCCAGTTGTGTCCCAGTTGTCTTCCAGATGCGGCTTCCTAGATGTTGTCTCCGAGTTGCCTCCAAGGTTTCTCCACTTGTTGTCTAGTTGTTTTCCACTTGTCTCCCGGATGTGGTCTCCCAATGGCCTTCTAATTGCCTTCCACACGTCTCATTTGTCTCCCAGAATCGGTTTTCCAATTGTCTCCAAGTGTCTTCCATTTGTCACCCCGTTGTTTCCCAGTTGTCTTTCAGATGTTGATTCCTGCTTGTCACCTAGTTGTCTCGCCTTCGTCTTGCAGATGTGGTCTTCCAATTGTCTCCCAGTTTGTTCCAGATGTGATCTCGCAGTTGTCTTCCACTTAACCCCCACAACGCTCAGTTGCCTCCCAGATTTAGTCCCCCAATCATTTCTCAATTGTTTTCCAGTTGTTTCCGAGTTGCCTCCCAGATGTGGTCTTCCAGTTGTCTTCCAAGTGTATCCCTTAGCCTTGAATTTGAATCCGCCAATGCTGATGGATTGCAAAGCTGGGTTAATTGTTTCCAGCTATCTGGATGTCTTTCTTTACTTGTCTGCATCTCCCTGTGTCTCCCACTCTGGCTACAGGTGTCCGACTCTCCGGATTTCTCTTGTTAGGGTACTTGTTTCCAGGTTTCCCTTCATGTGTTCCCGGTCTGGCTAGTGGTGTCCGCCTCTCCAGATTCCTTTCTTCACTGGTCTTTCTTCATTTGTCTCCCAGTCTGGCTTTCGACGGCTAGTGGTGTCCGGCTCTCCAGATGTCTCTCTTCACTTGTCTCCCTTCATTTGTTTCCCGCTTTGGCTAGTGGCGTCTCCCATTATATAATCTTGCCAGTGTTGTCTGGCCCCGCGGGTCTCAATCTTTACGTGTCTTCCTTCGTGTGTCTCCCACTCTGGCTAGTGGTGTCTGGCTGTCCGGATGCCTTCTACTTTCACTTGGCTCCCATTCATATGTCTCCCATAGTGGCGATGTCCTGCTCTTAGTTTCATCACGGTTTCATCTTTGATTGATCCTTATCAATCTTCTTTGCTCCCTTTGTGTCTTCTTGTTGTCTCAGGGATTACACCGGCATAGACTCCAGATAGCAATGACACGATAGATGGACTCAACAATTGCCAACACCAGGAGCTAGTATAAACACAAACATGCACGCAGACGCTGCAATGGATATGGAAAAACTGTTTGGGGCCTACGGGGGTGTAATTTTTGGCCCTTTGTTGGATGATGTGTCCGCCTTTCCGAGGCCTTGTCTCTCTTGACTCTTAGCTTGTCTCAGCTTGTCTCCATTTTTGCCTCCTTTGTTGGATGGTGTGTCCGCCTTCCCGAGGCCTTGCCTCCCTTGACCGGCAGCTTGTCTCCCAGATCTTGTCTCCCAGATCTTGTCT